AAGCAAAATAAATATTCAAAAGTTAAAAATGTCTCCAAGTCTAACATTTTTACTGTCTGTGGTACCTAGAAAAAATTCTTCAAAATTAACTTTAAACAAATAGTTATTTTATTACACAGAATGAACAAGACCATGTTAGTTTTGCTCTATCCTTGCATCTTGATTTTAGCACATACCTTGTACCTAGTGTGTGAGACACCACAATGACAACTAAGCTGCCAAATACTCAATATTGTCAATAACATATAATAGGTTAAAAAACACAAGCTTGATTAATATTCTAGAACTAAAAAGCAATCATGACTGGGATTTAGTAAGGGACAGATTATCAGTTGCTGAAAAAAAAAAAGAACAAGTTAAAGGTTTTGAGGAAACACTTTGCATTAGTAATATGGTAGAATGTAAAGAAATGGGGAGAAGTTGAATCAATGATACAGAATATGAGTCAGAATCACACTGAAAAAGATTAGGCAAAGATTATTTTCAGAATGGTAGTGATAATATACTGGACATTCACAGGATCAGATTTGGACATGGAAAAATACCATGCTAGTATTTTAGATAGGTAAATATTTCTGGGAACAACCACTTAGTTTTAGATTGAAAAAGCAAATATTGCTAATAAACAGAAGTTTCTGTTATTCCATGTGCTATTAATTTGGAAACCTTTTTTAGACCCAGTAGTAAAAGGCAGTGGATTCATATTAATTTTATTATTTCTATTATTTTCCCTAAAATTCTCTTATGCAAGCACAATCCCTGGTAGAGAAAAGAGCTGAGTTGTGTGGGAGCAAGCACCTATTAAAACAACACTAATGAAAGTGAGCAGTGCAAATTGCTGGCAAACTGCCTTTAGCAGTTTTTCAAGGTTATTTTGGTATGAAAGTCCTTCACAACTCTCTTCCATTATGTCCTGTATATCTCATGTTAATGTACATTTTTGATTAGCAGGGATTATTCTTTGCAAGTACTGCTCACGCTTACCAGAATGCAAATAAACTGGGCTACAGGGGTGGAGCTCCTGTGTCAAGGAGTGTATTGCAGTCTTTACCCTCTTGTTCAGCTGTTTGTGCCCTTGTGTGCATTACCCACATGATAACACTACTTGTCCTTCTTACATGAGGGCTGGAACCAAGTGTGAAGCAGACATTGTGCACTACAGCACCTTCTCTTTGGCTTTAGTTTGGAAAAGCTCCTGAAAAGTCAGAGAACTGCACAGTTCATGGGATTTTTCCACCACCTCAGTGAGATATACAGAATATTGAGAGATCTAAAATCCCTTCCCTCCAAAGAAATCCATGCCTAGATTAGCTGCAGGTGATTAGTAGCATAATTTTAGAAGCAATGCATTGTTTATGCTACGACGCAACTGTCTTCTGGAGTCCCAGAACTCATTCATACCCCAAATACATGGCTAAATTTCTCCTTATCATAACAGAAACCAATGATGAACACACAAATTTAAATCCTGCTTTTAAAGGAAAGAGAAAAATCCTTGCTTCATATGTGCAAAATAGCTGTAGAGAGGTTAAACCCTATTTCTGTATTCTCAATACTTGTTAAATAGTCTCATGCAAAATTACTTTCTTCTCATTTAGGAAATGCATGTTGTACACATGATTCCACCTAATCTTATACCACTTTGCAAAGCAAAAACTAATTTCCATTCCAGAGGATTGAATTGCCTTCAACTATACAAGTTTAAAGATATGTCTACAGTTCATAAGGAGTGCATGTACATTATAAATTCATTTAAGTGCTCTACAGAGATACTGATTCTAATTAAGACTTCATTGGCTTTTTATTGAAAACAGAGTTAAAATTGCCTAATTAAGCATGAAAAAAAGAAGAAAATTTTAAATGAAGAGTGTTTACATAAGGAAAACACGTTTCTGCCAAGCTTTAACTCACCTGTAAGCCTGGAGGAGATTTTCTCTTTCCACGTCTCAGCGCCTCAATCTCCTCCGAGTGAATCACAGATGGATGCCTGAGAGGCAAAAGTCGCACTCAGGTGGTACTTGTCAGTTTGCAGTTAAGGCAGCTTCACCATTTCCTGGATCTGAGATGTATCACAGTTTTTTGTTGTTGTTTTCTTTTTGTTTGTTTGTTTTTTTACAGGACAAATCTATGTACGTTAGCTTGGGACCATCTTCTCTGAAAATGATGTTTTTTGAAAAGGCTTCTGAGCCAGGCAGGCAGGTTTGACAGCAAAGAAAACAGCAGATGGGGCAGAAGTCTAGAGGCAGAGTGGGGCTCTCCCAGTCTCCTGAGTCCTGTCATCTCTGTTTTACTGTTTTACCCCACTTTTTTCTTAGTGCCATGTCTAGTTCTCTCCTTCAACACTTACCTCCTCATTCTGACAGGGGTGTTCTTTCTATCTTGTTAACAGCACAGATTTTAATGTTGTACTTTAGTCTCCTTGCAAGCAACCTTAATAAAGCACACACTTCTCTTGAAATTTCATGCATTAAACCATGAATGCAGTAGTAAAGGAGTAGATATACATGATATGGAATGAGATAAAAGTGATGTTTGTGTAGTTTTAGAACTGTATATAAATGGAAATTTAGGGAACATATGACAAGTGTGAGTGGCTTCTAAAATTCAGAAATTAATGTGGATGCATGCTCATTTTTTGATATATTAGAAATGTTTTGGTATTTGCATATCTTAAATGGATGAATTAATGAACTTTCATTTTCTAGATTCCTGTAGAAAAACGATTTTTTTTTCTGTTTTCTAATTCTTTCGTTCATTTCCCTAATAGTACAAACAAGTGGAACAGTACATGTCATTCCACAAATTACCTGCTGAAATGCGCCAGAAGATCCATGATTACTATGAACACCGCTATCAAGGCAAGATTTTTGATGAAGAAAATATTCTCAATGAGCTCAATGATCCCCTTAGGGAGGTAAGGTTAAAGTGTCCATGCAGTTCTTCATGACATGGAAAGCTTTCATGCTTTTGCTCTTTCTGTGTTAAAATGCTATATTTGTTTCTACTCTGTAATGTCATTTGACCATTTACCTGATCAATGAAAGACCAGTTGAATAAACTTTATGTTAGATTGGATTGATACAAAGAAATATGCATGTTTACACTGTCTTCTCCACCAGTCAGTCAGTCATTGCCACAAAAGGATGTTAAAGAGAGTAAAATCCTATTCTTAGTTGTTGAGGCAAACCCTGATTTGCATGTTGCTGATATTTCTCTTTACCCTCTTCCTCTTCTCTCATTCTTTAAAATAGAGAGAGGTTGGACTAGAACAACCTTGGATGAAAGCTTCGTTCTACACTCCCTTCTTTGTAACCAGAATATCTGTGCAGATAGGAGCAATGAAAGTCACCAGTGAAGGGAAGTAGCATCCCTGGCTAAGGAAGTCTTTACTTGAGATCAGGAAGCTGAAAATATGACAGAATGTTCAATCCATGAAAAATACCTCTTTTATTACAAAGCCAAACTGTATTCCGGTTTTGTCTTTAATTATTATTTTCTGTTGTGCTGAAGCATTTGGAATTTTCTTCCATAAGGTATTTGTGTAGGAGTAAGGCTACATCTAGCTGAAACAGTTACCTCCTTAATGGGAATATATTCTCTTGGATGATACCCATGACCCACCTACTGAAGGATGTTTCTTTGTGTTGTCAGTTGGCTAATATCTGCCACTAAAGCAAGAAGAAAGGGATAGAGAAAAAAATAGAAGTTGAAAAAAGAGGAAAAAGCTTAAGCAGGGAAAAGAAAAGCAGGCACTCTTCCTAAAAACAGGAAGTGTATGATGAATCCTGTGTAATTTTTGGTGATACCAGCTAATGCCTTTTAATATCCCTGCAATGAGAAGGATGGTACTGAATCCATGCATATATAACTCCCAACAGAGTGCAGGATGACATCTGTACTTTTAACTCCCTACAGAGAACAGGATGATATCTGTACTTTCAAAAAGCTTTGTGGGAGTTTATTCTTTTTAGCGAGGCTTGCAGACAAATAAGAACTTAGGTCTGTAAGGGATTTTCTGCACTGTTGAATCCAGTTCTTTGTTGTGAAAAGGACACATATTGTATAATCCAATTCCAAAATCAATCAAATTCAGTATTTAAAATAGTTGGCATATTCAACCTATATCTATAAGACATAATGCCATACCTGTTCAGAAGCTCTGAGGCCAGCTGGCACAGTTTGACCATATCCATGTTGCTAAAGTCTCATAGTTGCCTTCCTCCCTTTAAACTGCCAACTGGTAATGATGAACTGTGCCCAAAATTGCTGGGTCAGTACTAGATGGTCCAAGTCAAAATAAGGCTAAACCATGATTGTTTACACAATTTAACAGTATAGATGATTGAATTTCAGTGCCTGGGCCCATTTAATTCCCTAACATAGAGGTAGCCTCAGTCCTGTATATTTGCAAGTGTTTCAGAGGGCAGATGGGGGACTCTGGATTTTGCACTGTCAATGTACCCTGAACTCACCTTAGTTCTTTTGAAATGTCATATGAGGAAACAAGAGGAGAATGTACCATAAAAATCTATTATGTAGGACAGAAAAAGTAAGCCCAGAAACTATCCAGAGAGTGCAGTGACAGTCTAAACATGAATCTTGGCCTCTGTTAAAGAAGTGGATGTATGTACAGGCTCAGCAGTTGACATCAGGAAAAATTCATATCTATTTATCTTTTCAAGGATTAAGTATTTCTCTGTAAATGAAGTTGAATACCCTTCCAGTGCAAAATATTTTACTGACAAAAAAAATTCAATTGCAGCACTAATTCTTTCCTCTGTCCATCCTTCTTCCCTCCTTCCTTCCTCGTTCTCTCTCTTTTGTTCTTTTTCTTTCTTTTCTCCTTGTTCCTTCTTTCTTTCCTTCTCTCTCTCTCTCCCTCTCTCTCCTTCTCTCTCTATTTTTTCATTGTAAGAATGCAAGGAAAATTTGGTCAAGCATAAAAAACAAAAATCATTTCTGGGGAGAGATCAAGCATGGAAAATTTCAAAAATTAATGAGCCATTAAAAACACAGAATAAGAAGGAAATATCACTGAAGGGATGGCTTTTGCTTTCACTACGATCATGCTGTGTGTGGCATGATTTCTTTGTTTTCCATATTGCATAGGAAGAATTTATCCACCCAGCAGAGTGTTTTCATCAGAAATTGCAGTCGGGTTGAACACTGTCCTGATGACAACATAGTGGTTGTTCCAGAAAAATGTCAAGAAGAAAATGAGAAAACTGGACAGTGGCAAAGATAGAAGAGGTTTCCCAATGATTCTATCTGAATTTTGGCAGCACTTCATGTACTATGCCCTGAAAACACCACTTAGACATTTGCTTTGTTTAGCAGTTTCAAATACTATTTTAGCTATCACTTCATTATCCACACTTTTGTAGTGCAGGTAGTGGCTTTTTGGTGTTACTAATCAATAATAAATGAGACCCATTTAAAGACAGAGCACAATTCTTCTTGATCTTGGGCAGGATATCTTATGTTTTTATAACCGCATGAGGCTGTAACATCCAGGGGATAGCACAGATATCATAATTACATCATTCAGGAATAAATATTTGTTGTGTTTTTTTAAGTTCTTGATGAATATTATATTTTATTATACCTTCAGTTTAATGTGGGGTGAGAAGAAAACATTCAGCATCTCGATGGAGCATAATTAGCAAGATGAACGTAGTTTCTGATGAAGACATTCAACTGAAACCACAATCTCCTCACTTATAATAAGCAGAACAAAAGAAACCACACAAACGACCTAATAATTGTAGCATGAATATTACTGAAAGCTATAAAAGTATTTTCTTTTCTCCTTTTTCTTAGCCATTCTTGTTTACTTTATGGGCTGAGATTTTTTGTCCATGTTTTAAAAATTAGACTTACTCATTTCTGGTAGAAAAGTAAGTTGGAAATAATTATGCGTTATATAAATTAGATCTTCCAACTTAAAAAAAAAAAAAAAGGAGCGGATGTCTTGCATAAAATAACATTACTTTTACTGCTGTATATACTTACAACACAGGTAAGACTTTTCTGGTAAAACAGAATTGATGGTCAGTTGATTGAGCTTCTGAAAATCTGCTATGAAATATTCATAGTATATTTGATTAAGGAAATAATGATAAGCTAAAGAAAAAGTGTGTACATATGTGTGAGTGGAAACTTTATTTGGTTTATTTGGTAACAAAAATATACTCATGCTAATTATGGATAATAAGCTAGGCTTTGTACCAAAATGGAAAAAGGACCCTAGGCATTTCTAAATTTTAAAGTAGAAAAATAAATTTTCAGAGTTCTTCAGGTTTTTCATATCTGAGTAAATCGTACATTTCTCAAGTAATAGCTGACCTATATCAGTCAAAGATAAGCTTGAATTAACAAAGAAATTTCCCTTAATGGCAGTGAACAAAGGTAGACATTTAATAGTAAAGAGAATTTTAAAACCATATCTACTCCCTGATCAAGTTAGTTGCACAATTTGAGTATATTAGTTACATGGTAATATAATTAGTTGGATATTCTCAGCTCTACACACTGTGTGACCCTCGCACTGCCACATGTGCTGCGCTCTACTACCTGCTCACAAGCTTAAAGTGTCTTTTCATTAAATTTAGAAATTTTGCTCTTACTGATAATCATAAGCCCTTTTTACAGGTAGACTTCCATGATAATAAATGTCAAACATTCCTGAGAGTCAAATAGTCAGGAGACTCCTGGCAGTTACTTGGTCTGTACAGATGGATAATTTAAAATTGCTTTAGCCAAACCATGCAAGGTTGTATTCTTCTGACCTAGCTTTAGCTATACAAAAGTTCAGCACCAAACCTGAGTTAATCATCCAGGCTCACTCTGCACCTCTGCCATCCTTACTTACTATAGAGAAAATCTAGATGATTAGTTTAGAGAAAAGGCTGCATCTTTGCACAGCTGATGGTAAAGCGTGATATTTCCCTTGATTACTCCCCTACACTCCCAACTATTTTCAGCTCTGATTTTATAAGCCTGATGTTGTTTCTCTATTTAGCATTCCTTAAGAGGTGTCTCTCTGAATAAATTACTTACTCTCCTCCAGAATCTGTAATCTCCGTGCATCTACAACATCCTTTGGCAAGGAGTTCAATTTACTCCCTGCTGCATGAGGAACCACCTCCTTTTCTTGGCCATGAACCTGGCTCCCACTGTCTTTTGGGAATTTGATTCTTGTACCAAAAGTGATGGTACAGCCAGTTCCTACCCACCCCTTGCCTGCCGGTCAAGATGTTGTAGTTTTCTGTATCCCTCTTTTTACTATATTTTTTGAGGTAAAAGAATCCTATTCCATGTAAACTTTCCTTCCACAGAAGCCAGTTCTTCCCTATGACCACCCTTGCTGCCTTTTTTCTATTTTTTCCCAGCTCTGCTATAGCCTTTTTGAGATGAGACCACCAGATCTGTACCTACTCTAAGTCCTAAGTGATAAAAGATACATGACTATATATGCCTATGTGCATTGCTTAATATTTCTCTCCATCAGTAATCTCTAATCAGCCTATAAGAGGCCCATTTTAGTTTATTTTAATGAGATTCATTTGTACACAGTGCCCTTTCTGAAGTCAAGCAGTGAAGTTCTTAGCCTTTATTGTTCCCATAGGAGTAGTGGATTTAAGTACATTATGGTGCCTATTAAAGACATATGAATCTGAAATTCTGAAAAAGATCCAGTACACTGCTTAGTATTACATCAAGAGTAGCATTTTGGGACAGTTCTTGCAAGTAAGGGGCTCAAATAACGAAATAGTGCAAGGCTTCCATTATTGGATTTATAATTTGCTAAAAGTAATTGCATCTAAGTAAAAATAGCACTAAAACCAGATCAGTTTGGTACCCGTAGGCAAGTATATTATTAGGTAAGGTATTTGATACTCTTAAAATGATCAA